GTGGCGCTCATCAGCTTGAAACTCTTCATGCCTTCTTACTTTAGATCACTGGATGGAGCGAAGTCCCAGTGTCACAGTCACTTCTGAGTTTACAGCAGAGAAAACTCATACCCGTGTGTTTCTGAGCCTAACCACAGTTAATGGTGTATGAAGCTGATATTAAGACATTAAAAAAATACATTTTGCATCAATTATACAAGATGAGGCCTCAAATAGTTGATGATCCTGAACGGATTCAGCTGTAAATTTAGCAAATCTTTTCTGGAGGGGAAAATCAGAAAATCAGTAAAGCAGAAATATATCTAATCCATTTCTTCCCTGTACATGAGACGCTGGAATAGTTTTCAACCTCTGGCAGGTGATACTAGATTCGTGTGCGCCCCCCCTCTCAAACTCCAGCCTGCTTCTACTGACTCTCTGGCTGGGAAAACAGCTGAATTGCATGAATCTCTCAGTCCTACTCCAGCACAGGATTCGGTCAGCACCCGTCTCAGGGCTGATGTGAGACATCGCCCTGTCTATGCGCTCAATAATAGCATGCAAAATGGAAAATGCATGCATCCTGTTGTCTTAGCTGCTCAGAATTGGCTTGTTTTTTTTTTCTTAAGGAGCTGGAGATTTCTGCGTGCAGCGCACAATGATCAGGAAGGAGCTGTATAAACAGCACAGTCCTGGAACACAACAGCCTAGATGTTGCATTGTGCCCTCTGTATGTCACTGGACAAGGCTGGATGGAATTGGGATTTTGAAGTGGATTTCTTGTAGATCATCATACATCTAAGGAATTAATTGGATAGCATCTGCAACTAGGTTTTACATCTAACATTAGAGAGGTTACAAATGAGTGGAGCCCATGTAGCCCCTGCGGTCGTTAGCAGTTAATTGATCCCAAGTCTCTTCTAGCTTTGTCTTGAAAGAAACCAGGGTATCAGATTAATTGAAAGTACATTACTGAGCAGTTTGTTCCACACTCTCACAACTCTTTGGGAAAAGAAGAACCTCTTGCTCTCAGATTTGAATGCACTTCCACTTTCTGTGCACTAGTTTGTATATCATGGTTCATTCTATAGAAGTCCCCTGGGTTCGCTGTGTCAAAGCCTTTATAGAATTTTTATTAAGTTTCCTCACAGTCTTCTCTGTTCAAGACTAAAGAGACTCAGTTCCTTCAACCTGTCAGTGAAGAACAGTCCCTTAATACTTGTATCAGGTCTCCTCACTGTCTTCTGTGTTCTGGACTAAAGAGACTCAGTTTCTTCTGCCTGTCAGTGTAGGACAGTCCCTTAATACTTGTATCAGGTCTCCTCACTGTCTTCTGTGTTCAAGACTAAAGAGACTCAGTTCCTTCAGCCTGTCAGTATAGGAGAGTTAATGCAGGACAATTGAAAGTGGGATCCTAACAATTTTGTTTGCTAGCCAGAGAGAAAAGGAGACATCCTGTGGTGTAAAAGCTTGTGAAACCTGGCCATTTGTCCCATTTGCAGCTGCCTTCCTGTAACCTGGAAAGAGCTATCAGTCTCAAGACTGTAGAAGTAGAAAACAGCAAGGCAATTGACAAAATGAGTTTCTTTTCTTTTATTTCAAAACTGTAATAAATGTTCTGTGGCATTACTGTTGTGAGGCAAGATCTTGTGCTATTCAATTAGCTTGATGGCCCTGTCCAGAGAATTTGAAACTCTAGAAAGGCAAAGAGAAAGTTACACGGAATTAGGCACAGTATCTCTAAAGGCAGAGCACGTATACTTCATCTACAGCTGTCAGGCAGTGTTAGTGAATAAAACCAATACTTTAGCAACTCAAAACTGAGGATGACACCTGATTTCATTTTTCACACTCTTGTCTGAGAATTCCATAAATAAATATAAAGAAAAAGAGAAATTCAGCTGAATCGTTTGCACATATTTCCTTTTAAAAAATTCAAAGAACAGACCATCTCTACCACACGCCAGGAGCTGCTCTGCGATCAAGGTGCTCAATGTCTTCTTCTGTTGCTGTGAATGCTGTTTCCTATTAAAAAAGCAATACATCTTTCATGAAATTGCAAGTAATTTAATTTTTTTTTTTGATGTGCAGAAAGGTCATTTTTGTGAACCGCTTTTTAAAGGATTTTACACTTTTCAAATGCAGGACTATGAGAAAAATGTAGTCCAATATAGGCAGCATGGTGGCGCAGTGTTAGCATTGCTGCCTCATGGTGCTGGAGCTCTGGGTTCAGTTCCCAGGGGGCTGTCTGTGGGGAGTTTGTATGTTTGCACTGGTTTCTTCTGGGTGCTCAGATTTCCTCCCACGGTCCAAAAACATGCTGGGAGATGAACAGGCTTCTGGGTAATCTGGCCCTGGTGTGAATGTGTGTTTATGTCTGACTGCCCTGTGATGGACTGGTGTCCTGTCCAGGGTGTCCCCTGCCGTGTGTCCGTAGTTTGCAAGGATAGACTTCAGCTTCCTCACGACCTGTACTAGATAAAGACCCTAGGAAATGGATTGAATGATGGACAGGTCAGCTCTGAAGCAATCCCGTCTCATCTTAAACTTCCTTCCCCTATCAATGGAACACTGTCCCGGGTTTTCCAGAGGAACCCTATAATTCAGTTGGGCTGCAGCAATAAAAACACCATGAAACAATGATTTCACCACAGCAGCGACTGAAAGTCTATACTGTCCTAAATGGACACCAGGGTACAGGGAGCAGAGAGAACATGAGAACAGAAGGGAGACTTTAAGTAAGATAGGCCATTCAGCTAACCAAGCCTATTTGAGAGCTAGTAGCCACCTGATCCAATGGAAGAAGTCTGGGATACTAGCTTCAATAACTTATCATGGCAGCTCGTTCCACTCTCCCACAACCCTTTGTGTAAAGAAGTGCCTCCTGTCCTGACTGGGGGCTCTCATCCAGCTCTGTCTTGAAAGAAGATTTCAATAACATTGCTGGGCAACTTGTTCCACTCTCCCACAACCCTTTGTGTAAAGAAGTGCCTCCTGTCCTGACTGGGGGGATCTCATCCAGCTTGAAAGAAGGCAGGGTATCAACTTGAACAGCATGGCTGGGCAGCTTGCTCCACACTCTCACAACCCTTTGGACAAAACAAATCTATCTATCTGCCTAGTTTGGGATATGTGGTGGTACTAAGTAGGCTGATGTTACAGCTAATGAGGGAGAGTGAAATCACCCAACTGTGTTAGGTTTTAAAAGGATGCCGCTGTGCCTCGGTGCGATTTGTACCTAATTAGCGAACACTTAATAGATTTTTAGTCCGGGTGTTAATCTGTCATGCCTGGGACCTATTAGATAGCGCCTGGCTCTGACAGGGTAATTTGTTTTAAATGGTCTTTTGCAATCGAAGGGCAACTAGAAACAAATACTCTCTCTCTGGGTATTCTGTCACGTCACGTGTGCCACCCACAGACACACACAGCGCACTGAGAGGGTCCAGCTCAGAGGCGGAGGAGGGATAGAGATCTTCAGGTCAGAAAGAGTATCATAATGATAATAATTGCTTACACTTATATAGCGCTTTACTGGACACTCCACTCAAAGCGCTTTACAGGTAATGGGGATCCCCTCCACCACCAGCAGTGTGCAGCCCCACCTGGATGATGCACCAGTGCACTCCCCACACACCAGCTCTCAGTGGGAGGAGAACAGAGTGATCATCATCAGAGGTCATCAGATGAAGAAAAGTTCACAGGCCTGGTGTCCCATATCAGACAATATCCATCCATTTTCAACCTCTTTATCCAGGTCATGGGCGAGCCAGATTCTGTCCCAGCAAGCACTCACACCAGATGTCAAATATGTCTTTGGGCTGTGGGAGGAAACTGGAGCGCCAGGAGGACACCCACATGAACGCGGGGAGAACATACTAACTCCTCACAGACAGCACCCCAGGAGCTGAGCCCAGGGTCCCAGCGCTGTGAGGCAGCAAAGCTATCCAAATTATGTCATTTCCGGCCGTCAATATTCGTCAATAGATCAGACACATTTTTTGGAGCTAAACTGAAATTTGTACATTCTGATAGTCTGAAAGTCTGACAAATTTTGAAAGTCTGACAAAAAATTGTAAAGTAAGGCCTGGCAAAATGTAACATAAGATACATATGCACCATAGGCATAATCGCAAGCCTCTTTATATCTAGTCGATCCATGATCTTCCAGTCCGCCTGTGCTCGTTAGAGAATACTTTGTGCACTGCAGTATGCAACAAGCTTTGCTTTACTCCCGCCACCTAGTGGCCACGGTTGGAAATAAGGAAAAGTACTTGAAATAAACATTCGCAAGAAATCGAAAAATATGTGTATTATCAACACAAGTGATTAAAAGACGTATATATTGTAACATGTAAGGTTTTTGTCCAGATTAATTTAACATAATGAATGCCTAATCATTTTTTTTGTCTTCCATGGATGTTTTCATGGACATTATTCTGAATTTTAAATGCGAGAACGTGTCACATACTTTATCTTCGTATTGTTTCGTCGGACAAAGACTGTTCGGCACCACAGAAGCTTGCAGATGGATTAACACTGCGCTCACGAAATTCCTTCTGGGGGGTAATCTGTTGATTCTCACATCGGGGTGCCCATGGATCAGCTGTGGTATCCTGGCGGCCAGTACGTGTTGAAGACAGAGAAACGAACCCGCGTTGAGCACTAGCGTATCCGCGCCTGCTTCACGGCCACAGCCGTGTCCAGAAAGAGGGGTTGTGAATAAATTCAGTTTCCCCGCTCACCGCTCTTTCTCTGAGGCAGAACCCGTCTGAGCTCCTGGGACACAGGGGCTGGTTGTTTTCAAGTCTGTGTGCTTGTCATTTGGGGGGGTAGTTCGCTCTTATTCTGAATTGGGAAGAATGACGCCATCTGGAACTTAGCTGTGACTCAACTGGGAAACCTCTGGTACCATTAACCAGTGTGAGTGAAAACCGAATCACTGAGTCGTGCTCAGACCTCACGTGGTATCGCGCCCCACCGCGCCCGGGAAAGGTTCAAGAAGCCTCTGCGGGCTGTAGTAGAATTTACCCTCGCGTCTGACTGCTGGCGGGCTGGTAATGACGTCAGAGGCGATTGAAAGAGGGTGTGGTATCAGAGGGGTAGTATTTTAAGTGTGGAAGGGGCACAGCGAAAATTGTGTGAATGGAAACAGGGCGGCCAGTACACGAACACTCACATAGTGTACGTCTGTGCACTATGTGGCGTTCAGGTAACTCATAAGAAACGATAGTGACAATAAGGAATCAATGGGCTCCACGCAATCAAGAGGTGTCGACAAGAGATGTCGTGTAAAACAACACGGGGAGGTGTGAATGCTAAGCAGATCTTTGATGAGATGCAAATGAGATCTGGAGTTTACAACGCGATCCATCGATTAATCGATAGAGAAATAGATCGGTGTTTAGACGGCTGATGCAAATGTAAGGAACATAACTTTCAAGGCGAGCTTCCTGCGACTCCGTGAAGAGGTGCATTCCATTATTACGTGAAATAACGCGCAGAGGGCTGCCGTAGCGCGCTCGGCACTGCGTGTGTCTTTCTGTGTGTGTGTGTGTGTGCAGGGGTGGCTGGCAGACACCCGCTTTCGGATCATGAGGGCTCCGAGGCTCGACTTCCACACGCTGACTAAACGACTTGTTAATTTTCTACTACGGCGCAGCGAGGCTGACACGAGGAGCCACTGACGGGCGCGAGGAGGGACTGGGCGAGCATATCAAGCAGCGCGTTGCCACGAGCGGATCGATAGCAGGGGCACGCGCGGCACGCGGCGGGGGTCAGAACTTCCAGCAAGAAGGATGCAACTTGCCCGCCGTCGGAAAGGGAGCGTGGCCGCAGTCAGCGCTACCGGCGACACGAAAGTGAGCCAAAGACAATAAAAAACAAACACACAGCAGGAATAAGAATCCGCGCTCCCTGCCTGCTCCCCGATCTCGGCTTGGCTTTCTCGCTGTCTTTGTGTGAGAGGGAAGGAGAGGAGAAGAGAGAGAGAGAGGGGGAAAATCAAAGCGGAATCTCAACTCGATACCATGACGAGGAAGGGACTGTATTTCTTTCTCCTGACAGCCGTTTTTCTGAGTGAACCGCGATGCTCCCTCTTGAAGACCTCAACGGGAGCCCCCCTCAGCCCCGTCCTCATCCATAGCAGCGGGGAAGCCGGCGGCAAAAGGGACAACAACCAGACCTACTTCTCCAGACTCAAGAGGAAAACCCTGTCCGTGGATTTTGCCATCCCGTCTCTCTTCCGGACCTACCTGTCTGAGTTGATAAAGCGCCCGCTGAACGGCGAGTGTCTGGAGCACGACGTGTGCTACACCGTGCGCTCCAACTTGCGGCTGCACTGCGCTCCCTTGCAGAAAACCGTCTCCAGCTTCCTCGACTCCAAGTTGAGGGCGCCGGAGAGCGCCGAGACGCAGGCGGACAACTCCTCAGACCCCGGGCAGCTGCCCTACACACGCCGGCGGCCGCTGTCCAGGGTGCTGAACCTGGGACTCAGCAAAGTCAGCCGGAAATCGAACCAAGTCGTCATAGAGATCGGCGAGAAGGTGGTGCGGGCGGGCTGCGGCGGGCTTCGAGCCGAAGAGGACGGCCCGTCGGTCCCCCTGGAAATGGACCTGAGCCGGATGTTGGAGTGGTGGCTGGGGGCCGAAGGGGGCAGGCTAAGGGTCCGACTCATGCCCGAGCGGAGAGCGCAGATTCCGGGCAGAGAGGAGAGCTACTCTGCCGCTATCAGGGCGGCGGATCCCCGCCTCATTCTTCAGATCGCCTCCCGAGGTAAGAGCGTACCGCGCCGCCGGCCGGTCTCTGCGGAGCGCACGGCTCCGGGTCTGGACGCGGGGCTGCCGGCGTGTGTGGAGCCGCACAGAGTGAAGTCAGGCAGGACCGCTTTCCAAACTAACGGCTCACCCCCAGGAGGGTACATACCTTTGTATGTGTTTGTGGGGTATTCTGCGCTCACGGAAAAGGAGTGTTTTGGAAACTCGGCTGGTAACACTGTCCTGACGCGCCACGTTCAGGGATAAGAGCGGCTGTATCTGGGAACGTGCTGTCGGAGACGAGATTTCCTGTTTTAGTCTATATTCCCACCTCTCGTTCCGAGCCCTTTTGCTCACATGTGTGTTAGGCAGAGTGGTGGCACTGTAACCTCAGTTTGTGGGAATGCACGGCCCTCGCTGTCTCCGCACCTGCGACACGTTATCATTGTGATTTGAAAATGGTAATACAATCACATCCCTGTCCTGGGGTAAAAAAAAAAAACAAAAGAAAAGAGACACACACACCCAGTGTTAGGAAGTGGGAAATAGTCATTTTTAACGAAATCGCTTCGCGATGTCCTTTCTTAATCGCCTCATTTCAAGACGCGAGTTGCGCTAATAGCGATCGCTGTTGCTGCAGACTCTTCTGAAATTATTTCCCGGCCGTCGCTGCTGGGGCCCCTCTGGGAGGGTAGCTGAGAATTTGCAGACCGGGGTGTAACACTGGAATTCAAAGTTGGGGGAGCAGGCCCTGCAGTGACAAGGACAATAGCTCACCTGCGCTGGTCGCTTATCTTGCCTTAACAGCCTTGAGAAGCTGTTGCTTCTCAGAGTTTCCTGGGACGCTGTCCCTGTCCAGTGGACTAGTGTAGGTGATCAATCGGGTGGATTTAGTGCTGCCTAGGCTTGGCTAATATATAGCCTGAAGTTGCCTTCAGAAGTTATGGAGAACCACTGTTGTCTGAAACACCGGGCCTTTGGAGCTGTTTCCTTATAACTCTCGAATCTTTCACTGTGGGTTCTGCCATTGCATACTGTACATATTCTAAATACAAGGCATGGTGTTGACACAACTGAAGAGAAGTTTGGTATATTTTAGCTTCTCAGAGGTTTTGTTCGGTGCATAATTGGAAGCACACACTATAATATTGAAGCTCCTTTGGGTACAGAAATGATCTTCCTGGATTCTCTGTGACAGGAAAAGCAGCGCATTATTTCCACTTAAGTGGTGCACAGTTACTGCAGGAGAATTCTTTAAAATCACAGACGCGAGGCATTGTCAATCACCGCTGCAGTAAACTCTTACCAGAGCCGATGACTGTAATTACTGTTCGGCAAATGTCACCTATCAGATATGTGAGATTTCTCTGTTCTCAAGGACGTCTTATTTAATACAAATAAGTGGATTCAGGAGCAATTTGTGTTGGCTCTTTAGCTCTTTTCATATTTCTGCTTCTATTAGTATCTTATCATTTTTCATATTTCTAGTACATCACAGTAAAAAAAAAATGGATGTCTTTTTCCTGTTATCCAAACGATTTTCTACTGTGATGGCTCACTTGGAAAGACAGATACCCATGCATGTGTTTAAAATAATGTGGGCCTAATTCCTAATTATGTGAGCCTTCTCTAATTAGTGCACAGTGGGGTCTCTGTGTGTCTCCCAGGTGGGGCTGCACTGTGATGTGGGTCTCCTCCTGTATGTGAGGCTCTTTGGCATCCTTTAGGAAGAATCTTTTTCTATAGAATGATTTCTACATGAGGAGTTTTATATGGAAAGGTGCTATATAAATGCGAGGATCTTTTTTATATACTGTGTATAGTACTACATAGGGGGTATTGTGGCTTCTTGATCAATGTTTTAAGCCCTTTTGGAAAGCTCAGGTTGTGTGAAAACGATCAGATTTGTTTTCAGTTTGCTCTTTCATGTTTCTGAGTCAAACTCCACTCCACACACTAGTGAAATGGGTTTTCTTGATCTCAGCTTGGCTCACTCTGCAAAGCTGCTACCCTTTCATGTGATACTGAATCAGAAGGAAAAGTTAAGAGCTGATACGCAGCCAGATTTGCCCATCATGTCACCCCTGCTAGGAGGGAAATGTCTGGAGGGCAGAGTGGTCAGGGCCAGCTCGAAGACAAATACTGTACAAGGTCTGCAGTGGGACAACATGGGGTGCTTAATCAACAGCAGAGCTGTTGGGTGTCTGTCCATCACAGGGTGGTTAATCAACAGCAGAGCTGCTGGGTCTACAGTATGTCCATCACAGGGTACTCAATCAACAGCAGAGCTGCTCAGCGTGTGTCCATCACAGGTTACTTAATCAACAGCAGAGCTACTTGAGGACCACATTGTAGTTCCCACTTCCTGGCCACAAGTCTTGAGGCTCAGCTGAGCTTTTAATTAAAGAGCAGTAATATTTTAAAATATATTCACTTAATTGTAGCAGTTCAACTATTTTCTCTGTTTCCCCCAAAGACTGTGGCTGTAGAGGGAGAGATCTGAGGATTTACTGGCCTAATATGATTAAAAGGGCTCCTTAATCAACAGCTTAAGACTTGTGAAAAAAACAAACCTCTGCTGTTCCATTTATGCAAGAAAAAAGTCATAGTAATTAAAAGAGAGTTCAGGTGGATGGAACACAAAGCATTTTCAGGACTGAAAGTGAGTACCCTTGAGTTTACAGATCTCAGATGTGCCCACTAGGATGTTGTTATTAAAAGGTGTAATGTGAATAAAACTGTGTCAGTGGGCGAGTTTCAGGAAGGACGGGCACAGTCTCCTTCAGCTCCTAACAGCTCGCCATGAAGTATTGGCTCAAGGGGAACAGTTTGGCAGTTTATTTTCTTTTCTCAGGGACAGAGACCTGAATCTTCCGAAGCTTAAATTTAAATCATCTACGTCTAAGAGACTGGGATAAAAAGCTATTCATTAACCTATTAAGGATTTTCTTAAAGTAAAATGTCACGCACAGTAGAGGTTAAGAGGGTTACAGTACACTCACAGAGAGACAGGAAGGAATCAGGTGGCCTCTGATGGTCTAATTAGGACACAGATCTGAGGGCTGGAGCTTCTGAAGGCTCCTGTACAATGCAGGACTTCAGCAGTGGACCTGAGCAACTCTCTCCTGGGTGGTAATTGGCCCTGTCGCAGGTTCAGTGTCTGAACTCAAATTCAGACTCTAAAGAGTTTCACCGGTGTGACTGGTGACTTACAGCTTTGTTAAAGCCATAACAATTAGTGAGCATTTGCAAACGTTCAAGACAATCACACAAGCTTATTATTAGACAGTCTCACTGTCCCCCAGGCTGTGACAGAAGATCACACACTGGGCTGCAGCTCTAATATTTAACATGTTTATATGAGTTTCTTCCCTTGTGGAGACTGGCAGGTGTGGGAACTCTGGAATTTGATTGGTTATTTAAGGGAAGAGTGTTTAACTGATCGTGGAGCGATTCCACTGTGCAGAAAGTGTCTCTGCTCCTCCTGGCAGTGGGAGCACAGCCTGCCCTTTCTGGGCAGCCAGGTCTGTGTCCAGTTTCTCTGTCCAGGCTGTGGTCACTGAGTCTGTCCTCTCTGGGCAGCCAGGTCTGCCTGTATCCAGTTTTTGTGTCCAGATTGTGGTCACAGAGCCTGTACTTCGTCAGGGTCTGTTCTCTTACTGTCTCTCACCCTGGCCAGTGTGTATTGTCTTTCTGGGGCTGAGAGCATCTTTTCACTAATCCAGACTGGATACTCTAATGTATCAGTAGGTTTTTACACTTGATTCCATGATTAAATATCAAGATGAGACACATTGAAACTGTATTTGGATTTTATATCCCTAACAAATGTGCATTGTTTTTCTGTCTGTCCGTTTCAGGCATATTTATTAAATTGGTTTCCTGAGTGGGGTGAGGTGATGACATTCATTATCAGCTTGCTAATTAATTTCCTTTCTTACAGAGTGTTCCATTTTAATACTTAACCAATCTGCAGACGTCCCAGGCAGAAAAGTGAAAAAAGCACATATAAAAGCAAACTGAAAACTGTATCTTAGAAAATGTTTTGCATATTTTAGAAATTTCAACCTATACTCTTACGACAGCTAACTGCCCTTTCTTTAAACCAAAGAATCAAAGTGGAACACAGTCTGCAAAGTGTGACACACAGCCAGTTGATTGCAGATGTTTATTTACACAGCTGAATTGCTGCACAAAGTCTTGCTTTCAGTTAACTTTTTTGGAAACACAGGGAAGTCCAAATCCTATGTTAGTTCTCCTGTTATACACACTGTGTTTTGGACAGAAGCACAGACGGATATGCATGCACACATATATTCTGCACATGTGCATTTATAATTGTGAACAGCACTCATTTCTCTACACAAAGGGTTGTGGGGGTGTGGAACAAGCTGCCCAGCCAAGTGGCTGAGGCTGATACCCTGGTTTCTCTGAAGACACAGCTGGATGAGATCCTGGGATCAATTAACTACTAACTCCCAGGCCGGCCAGTTGGGCTGAAAGGCTCCCCTCCTTTGTAACCTTTCTTCTGTTCATTTCTTGTGCTGCGATGTTATCTGGTGCTGGAAGCTGCCAGGGCTCTGCTGTACCTTTTTCTTGAAGGGCAAACTGCTGCAGCCTCAGTGGAGGCAGAGCAGGAGAGCGCAGGGAGTGATTAATAATGCGCTTGGCCTGAGCTGCCTGTCTGACTTGTCGCTGGGCTCATTCCGCCTGCTGGACTCTCCTGTTTGCTCTCCCTATCTCTTATCAGGGCTCTTGCTCAGAAGGCAAAACTAATAAAACAGCAGTGACCTTCTTTCCGACAGAAGTGCCTGACACAAATGTTAGCTCTGATAGAAGCTTTGCTAGGTTATCACACATTGCTAATCATGTGTTGTTGGAGAATTTTTTTATCACTAAATGCACCTGCAGTGCACAATGCAGGCTTAGCGCATTAGAGGAGAATGGTTCGGGTCGGTCAGGAACATTATAGTCCTCAATAGACATTAGGAATACTTCAGTGCTTTGGTAGATTTCGTG